TACCAATGTTAGATACTTTGGACCATCTAGGTGTAGATCAGAGGGTGATATCTTTACTAATTGAATCAAATAGACCTAGAGCTTGCTTTGGGGAAGGAGAGAGAGAGAGAGAGATGTAGGAGCATCTGACCGTCGGAGGGGTTGGAGGAGCTCCCTGCCATCGCTGATTCGTCGGTGAAGCTCTGCGCACGGGCAGCGGCGGTTGGTGTAGCGGTGGAGACCAGCGGTGGTGGCAAAGGCAGTGGCGCCTCCCGCCGCTGGCAGTGCCTCCCTCGCGATCGGACTAGGGTTAGACGGTGGGGTTGTGGCGGCGGCAGTGAACCTCGTTAATGGAGCCGTTTGCCCCACCTCCTCTTTATAGACACTGTGCGACGAGGGCCCACCAGCCACTAGATGGCTGGACATCCCCGATCAGGACGCGGTCAAGGAGTCCGTCTCGACCGTTGGGTCAAGATGGATGAGATCAATTCTAACATTCCACTTCACTATAATTAGTTTTACTCCAACTTTATCATGGAGCAGCTTTAAAAAAAACTAAAGTTTTTAAAGTACCTCCTTAGGTACTCCACAAAACACCTAGATTTAGCCCTCAACTCCACTTTCTTTCTGGAGGGAAGTTTGTTAACCTGTCCCTATTTAACAAGCAAAGTTGGGAGCAAAGCTGAAAGAAGTGGAGCGAAGCCATTCAAAAAAAAAACTCTTGTTAGAAACTTTAGCCTTCGCAAAAACATATACTCCTATATTACTTCCTTTGGTTCGGTCTATAAGACAATTTACATGGGTCAACAGTCAAATTTTAAAATCCTTGAACAATAATTTGCAGCTATTGTAATACAAACTGTTGATACTATTAAATTTGTAATCAAATGTACTATCCAATACTCATAAGTTTATAATCATACAAGATATAATAAAATAAATTGGACCCGAGAGAGTAGCAACTAACATTGGTAATTTGGGCGGAACCTGAATGACATTTAATATAGGTGTTGTTTGTTTAGTGGCTTAGTGCAGTGCCAATGCAAACGTCAATGGAGATAACGCTGCAATCTAAAAAAGGCAATCATTTACTTTGATTGTTTGGTCGCTGCCGACGACATCATGGAGTCCCATCCCATCGTGAGATGATCACAGCACAGCTTAGGGCGTGTTTAGTTCCGAAATTTTTTGGTTTTTGTTAACATTTTCGTTGGTATTTTGTCTAATTACCGATATGAACGTTAGGCCATTAGTTTTTTTTTGTTCACCAAAATTCAAATTTGATTGACACTATGCAAAAGTGAACTAAAGATTTAACCAAACCGATATGAACGTTAGGCCATGTTTTGTTCCACCAAAATTCAAACTTTAGCACTATGCAAAAAGAAGGATTACATCAAATGTTACATGCATAGAGTATTAAATGTTGACGAAATAAAAATAATTGCACAGTTTGGTTGTACTTTGCGAGACGAACGTTTTGAGTCTAATTAGTCAACGATTAGACAATTATTACCAAATACAAACGAAATGCTACATTGCGCTATATGAATAAGCAGTAAATCGGGCGGCGCCAAGTTCGTTGAACTAAACGCGGCCTTAGCGAATACCACCGTGTGAAGTTTCTGGTCCAAAATAGTCCAACTAAACAGCACCATATAGTGTTTAAGAAACTCATACGTTACTTTCAAGCACTCCATGATAAGTTTAAATATGGCATGTGCATACTTTCGCTCAGAAACATTGTTAGCCTTAATTAGCGTGTTACTAATTTTCTCTATCTAGAAATCACAAGCGTATTTCGGGCAGAGAAAATTCACAATTTTACAATACACTGAAAGTCTGAAGCATAAATACTACTCTCTCCATTCCAAATTACAACTCGCTTTTGATTTTTTTGTATATTTACTTTACTATGCATCTAGATATAATATAAATCTAGATGCATAACAAATTTTATGTATCAAAAAAATCAAAGCGACTTAACGGAGGGAGTACATCAACGAATTTTCGTTCAAAATGCTTCTAATACAATATTGAATTACTCCAATATATCGCAAGAGAAACCATAGTTAAAATTTACTTATATAGCTTTTTTATAAAAATATCTAATCATCTAGAGAGTGTATTCAACCATCGCATCCCTTGATTGTGGATATAGAATAGATGCAGATGATCCAAGCAAGCCGAGTGCAGACGGGGATCAGCGATTCTTCTCTGTGATGACAGAAAAAAAAAATCCTCAGCAAATCAATCAGGCAGTACTACTAGTTAATTAGCTGCACTACCCAACGCAGCAGGAGCAGGACTGCAGGGGGAGTAACAAAATCTCGCTTCTCCCCCACACGTGCAAGGCACGTGCGTGGCGCCAGTGGCGGTGCCACGCCCCCAAGGCCAGGTGACGTCATCGTCTCCACCCTTTTCCTTTTTCATTTTCTTTTGCTCTTTATTTGCCTTTTATGGACAGGTCCTTTTCACTTGGAATCCAGTCCCTTTGTGCTTTGGTCTTCATGAGAACTTGAGTACTTTTCCTACGACAAAGTTATAATAATATATCTTTTACCTTTTGAACACTACCTCTAGCTAGCATACGTTTTTACTAGTTATTTGCAAAAAAAAAAAGCATTAACATGTGTCATATCTTCTTCTAAGTTCATTCTATATAAGCGCTATACTTCTTCCGTTCTAAATTATAAGATAAGATGTTTTAGTTTTTCTAAATATATTATTACTTTTATAATATGATTTTGACAAAGAGTATATATATCTAATTAGGTAGAATAGCCATTTTGGTCCCTCAAATATTACTTGTGACTCAATTTCATCCCTAAACTTTTAAAACAGTTGTTTAGGTCCTTAAACTTTAGTTTTAGGCTCAATTTCATCCTACAAACATAAAGATAATTGTCTCAGTCCTCAAACTTGCAATTTGGGCTCAATTTCATCTATAAACTATCGAAGTGCATTTAACCTTTTATTTTCAACTCATTTTTGTCTATTCAAAAAGAAAACTTTATATTTTAGGCACAATTTCATCCATGAATTATCAAAATCATAAATATGCTATTGTTTCAATATATCCATGTATTTTTAAAGAATAAATATGAGTTTGGAATTATTAATGGTCACGAAAGAGTTTTTGGACGAATATTATTTTCCTATCTCCAATTGCTGGTGGTGTTGGAGCTAACCAGGTGCAACAATGCAGCATTCCACGTAGAACGTAGACAAAGTTGAGTTGAAAATAAAAGTTTAAAGAACAAAATACACTTTGATAGATTATAAATGAAATTGAGCCTAGAATGCAAAGTTTCAGGACTACAACAATCATCTTCATAGTTCTAAGATGAAATTGAGCCTAAAAATATAGTTTAAGGACTAAAACGGTCAATTTAAAAGTTTAGGGACGAAACTGAGCTTCGGGTAATAGTTGAGGGACTAAAATGGTTATTCTGCCATCTAATTATATAGAAAAACTATGTGTCCAGAAAAGTCAAAACGTCTTATAATTCAGGGGAACTCTATGTTGGTAGAACCGAAAAGAAAACTAGATGCAGAAAAGGATAGAATTGCCGAGTAATGCCTCACATATTTTCCTTCCTTTTTTGTGTTGTGTTCTTCCTCTTGACATCCCACTGTCCACGTTCCCCATCTAATTGCATCCATAGGCACCTTATGTATCCTTTTGCATGCCATTTGTACTATTTGTACTGGCGAGTAGCGAATAAAGGATCATTGTGTCATAGGTTGACCATTAATTCTTACCTCAAAGCCCACTTAATCTTATCAGTCACTGGCATGGCACCTACTTTTCGATTTGAGCCACCATCGGCGCCTAGTTCACCATGCTTTGCTAGCAGCCACCAATTTTGTCGCTGCTGCTGGTACAAGGGGTTTCTAGGTCAGGGAAGAGTGATATCCCTAAAACCCTAACAATTAGGCTAAACCCATAGTGCTTGGTCTTTTCTCGAGTGGCCTACTCGGGACGTATTTGCGTGCAAGTCATCGTATGGCTAGTCACATATTAGAGAATATATAATGTGAAAATCTATCCAATTGATGAATTTAAATCAAGTATTCATAATGGCAGGAGTGGGGATGGTGGTAATTAAGGGAGTGTTTCATAGTTACCAGTTGGACTAAAAATTAGCCTAAGTTAACTATGACTGGTTAATTAGTTGGCTAACAACTAATTGATTGAAAATTTGACTAAAAAATTAGGCCACGTATTAGTCCTCTTGTTTAGATGTAACAAAGCTAATTTAAGCTTAAATTAGCTAGCTAACAATTAGTCAATAGTATCAAACATATCCTAAATCAGCTAGTACAATACAAATGCAAAGATGAAATATAAGAGAAAATTGAGCTCCTCTTGTTGCCTGAAAAGAGGAAGAGTCCATTCAAACCGGGACAGGGACGGGAAGAGCAGCAAGAAGGGCACCCCGAGGCAGAGCAGAGAGATGTACAAATAAGGGCATGCCCGAGGGCTGCTTTCCAAACCTGCCAGAAGATAAGCAGGGGAAGGCAGAAGCAAAATGGAAACCAAAACAGACCTCTGCCCTCCTCTATCTCCTCTCCTCTCCTCTCCTCTCCCTGCCTGCCTCACTGCCCTGTGCAGCTGTGCTTGCCTACCCTCCCTCTCCCTGCCCCAGCTCCAGTGACCCAGAGGCCCAGAGGACCCTCCCCCTCTCCCCTCCATTAAAGACAAGGCCAAGGCCATCCATCCTCTTCCTCCTTCCATCCCCATCCCCATCTCCCACCCTCCCCTCCTGGCTCACTCACCCACACACCCACACTTGCAATTTGCAATTCCCTTGAGGTAACAAGCCAAGCAAGCAGCCCAACAGCAGCATGTAACAAGCCAAACCAAGCAAAGCTTCACCATCACCATCACCGCAGAGGTCAGGTCACCTCAGCTCACCTCCCTAGCTAGCAGTAACTGCCCAGTGGGAGTGCAGATTGAGTGGCCAGTGAGTACCGGCAGTACTAGCGACTTCGCCTCCAGTCCACTCCCGCCCGCCATGCAGTCTGGCTACGGCGGCGTGTCCGAGTTCCAGCAGTTCATCATGGACGGCGGCTTCGCCATGTCCGCGCCGCCGCCGCCGCAGCAGCAGCCGCCGCCCCAGCCCGCCGCCGCCCAGGAGCTGGGCGGGCCCTTCAGGTACCAGCCGCTGCACCACCATGCGCTGCCGCCGCAGCACCACCACCACGCGCTGCACATGCCGCCGCACTTCGCCCACTTCGGCGCCGCGCCGCCGCCGCCCTTCACGCAGCAGCTGCTGCACCAGGCGGTCGCCGCGGGGCACCACCACCTCCAGCTCTTCCACGAGCAGCAGCAGCATCACCACCACCACAAGCCCCAGCCGCCGCCGCATCAGCAGCAGCAGCAGCATCACCACCAGCCGCCGGCGAGATGGGCACCGCAGCCGCAGCAGCGCAGCAGCACCACCACCACCACCACCTCGGATTTGACGTCGAGGCCGCCGTGCCGGAGAGCTCGGGGGCGGCGGGCGCCGGGAGCGCCGCGGCCTCGGGCGCCGCCGCCCCTCCGGGCGTGCCCCCGTTCTTGGCAGCCGCCATGAACTTCAAGCTGGCGGTCGACCCCGGCGGCGGCAGCGGCGCCACGGGAGGCACCGACGACGGCCTCAACGACGGGGGCGGCGCCGCGGGCAGCGGCATGATGCTTCACGTTGGCGGCGGCGGCGGCGGCGATGACGAGGCCGCCACTGAGAGCCGCCTCCGCCGCTGGACCGGCGACGAGGAGACCTCCATTAAAGAACCCACCTGGTAGGCGGCTGTGCTCTTGTGCATCTTCCCTCCTTCCCCTCCCAACTGCTGCTCTCTCCAAATCTCGCAATCAAAATGAATTCTTGGTGGAATTCGAAAGAAAGAGAAAAAGATCGCATCTTGTTTGGTTGCTTGCTCTGCTTCGGATGCTATTGCTCATGCTCGTGGGGAGGGAGCAGAGGACGAGCAATAATAGTGCCATGATTGAGAAAGAACTGATGCTGGCTGATGCTGATGCTGATGGCGATTCCCTTCTCCTCCCCTCTCGGCCTCTCCTGTTCTCCCTCCCTCCCTCGCTCAAATCATTCTCACTCGAGCACCTACTTTTCAGCTCTCCATTCCTTGTGCTATGCTTCTCGTCTCTGGCTCCGACCCTTTTCTCTTTCTCTCTACACGACGACGATGGATGGATTCGATGATTACCTCACCCAACCAAAAGTTTTTGGGGTGACATGGACAAAAGGCCGCATCTTGTTCTTGCATGCAACAAATTCTCTTCTTTCTACCCATCTTGTACCAGTAGCATGTAGCAGCGTGAATCAAAATGTGGCACCTTTCTCCATCTCACCGTACTGCTTCTAATTCCTCACCATCAAAATGTTTTGCGCAGGCGGCCGCTGGACATCGACTACTTACACAGCTCGAGCAGCAGCAAGAGGACGGGGAAGGAGAAAGTGGCCACGCCGGATTCCCCCGCGCCGGCTGCCGCGGCCAATTACTTCAAGAAAGGCGACGACAATGCCGCAGCCGCAGCGGCCGCGGGCGGCGGCAACTACAAGCTGTTCAGCGAGCTGGAGGCCATCTACAAGCCGGGGAGCGGCGGCGCGGGCGGCGCCCAGACGGGCTCCGGTTCCGGCCTCACCGGAGACGACAATGCCATCCTCGAGCCGGCCATGGCCGACCTCCAGGACGTGGCGGCCGCGGCCGTGGGCCCGCAGCTGAACACGTCGGAGACGTCGGCCGGGGAGGAGGCGGCCGCGGTGGTGCAGCCGCAGCCGCAGCCCCAGCCGTCGGCGGATGCGGCGCGGCGCAAGCGGAAGCGTCGGCGGCAGCAGCAGGAGCAGCTGAGCGCGTCGGCGTCCTTCTTCGAGCGGCTGGTGCAGCGTCTGATGGAGCACCAGGAGAGCCTCCACCGGCAGTTCCTGGAGGCCATGGAGCGGCGCGAGCGGGAGCGCGCCGCGCGGGACGAGGCGTGGCGGCGGCAGGAGGCCGACAAGTTCGCCCGCGAGGCCGGCGCGCGCGCGCAGGACCGCGCCAGCGCCGCGGCGCGCGAGGCCGCCATCATCGCCTACCTGGAGAAGATCTCGGGCGAGTCCATCACGCTGCCGCCGCCCGCCGCGGCGTCCGGCGACGACACGAGCCAGGACGCGACGGCGGCCGGCAACGGCAAGGAGCTGGTGCCGTACGACGGCGGGGACGCGACGGCGCCCGAGGGGGGCGGCGGGTCGCTGCACCTCAGCACGTCGCGGTGGCCCAAGCACGAGGTGGAGGCGCTGATCCGGGTGCGGACGGGGCTGGAGGGGCGGTTCCAGGAGACCGGGCTCAAGGGCCCCCTGTGGGAGGAGGTGAGCGCGCGCATGGCGGCGGCGGGCTACGGCCGCAGCGCGAAGCGCTGCAAGGAGAAGTGGGAGAACATCAACAAGTACTTCCGCAAGGCCAAGGAGAGCGGCAAGAAGCGGCCGGCGCACGCCAAGACGTGCCCCTACTTCGACGAGCTAGACAGGCTCTACTCCCGCTCGGGTCACTCGGTGGCGGTGGCGGCGGCGCGCGACGGCGAGTCCAATGCCGGGGGAGGCGAGGCCAAGCAGGCGAGCTCGGAGCTGCTGGACGCGGTGGTCAAGTACCCCGACGTGCGCTACGGCCCGCCGGGGTTCGGGATGGACAGGGAGCAGGTCTCCGGCGGCGGCAATAACAACGCTAATAATGAACGTGGAGAGGAGGATGGCGACGGGGAGGAGGACGGCATTGGCAAGGGGAGGGCCGGCGATGATCAGGACGACGAGGTGGACAGCCATGGCCACGATGATGATGAGTAGCTAGCTACAGTACCCCCACCTCTCTCTCTCTCTCTAACCTTTGATGATGAGTAGCTAGCTGCATTGCATGCATGGCAATGGCGTTGCCATGGATGCGACCACAGGACATGCCATGCGAGCTGGGCGCCCAAGGAATCCTTTCCTTTGTTGAACAAATTTGTTTAGCAATCTTGTTTAATTTGTTTGTTCTTTCTTTCTTGTTACTAAATCACTACTACTAGTAGCTGTTATTACTAGTGCATTTCAACACTTGTTACTACTATTAGCTAGCACTCTACTGCTGCTTCTGCTTCTAGCTGTTATTATTTGTAATTTTGTATACTACTACTATATGATATGAATATGATGCATGGCCATCTACAAGATACTGTTAAAATAAGGTGCCATTGATTAATCTGTTACTGATATTTGTATGTACTGTATGAATGAATGAATGGGCGGGTACGATCATCATTGCATATAATATAGCTCCTGGAGCAGTGTTTTATTTTAAAGGAAATAAATCGTCCTTTGTGTTTATTATTTGGGTCAATGTCAGGAGGTGTGTCGGCAGATATGTGCTGCCAATAGTTTATTCATTTCTCTAGCTACGGCTTCAGCTCACTCAGACAAATGGTACTCTATCACTCTAGCAGGGTTAGCTTTAGCACTGGTATTTTCAAATGATAATAACGAGAAGGTATTGGGTTAGCATTAGCACTGGTATTTTCAAATGATAATAACGAGAAGAATGCCTGGCGCGTTGCCGCGAAAATTACTGATGTTTTAGAATAAAATTAGACTATATGTAGTTACTTATACGAAATTAATATTAGTGGATGGCGACGTGGATATAAATGCATCCGATATATAGTGGACTGCTAAAAGGTGGACATCTTGAATGTTGGAATTGAACTCTAGTATGGTTTAGAATTATAATAACATATAGAGATAATATAAAATTTCATTCTTTTTCAACTCTCTATATATAGATATAAATGGAGGAAATGCATGCATGCACACTGATGCACACTATGTAGGAGTACGTAGGGTCTGGTTTTGTTTGGTTGGTTGGTTAACGACAGCTTAATTATCAAGACACGCATGTTTATGCCGGCCCAGGTAGAGGCAGAGGCAGAGGCAGGCAGGAGTCGTAGGTCACGTCTGCGTCTGCGTACGCACGGCCACGAACCAAAAACCCCACAACAAGGTCGGTAGCGGCAACAAGCAGGCACGTGTCATCAATACAAACTAACAAAAGCTTAGCTGTCAGACACATTATTATCGTCGACCTATCTAGCCGCTCATCGATTTACTACTACGTGTACTCCTACACAGTGTTTTGCCTAGTGCAGCGTCATTGTTGATGCAATGCAATGCTGCCGAAGCCCGAAGGCATGTTTCAATTGACTGTAGCCTGTAGGCGTTGGACTACATTTTAGTTGCAATTAGAGTTTATTTAGTCATCTAAATTTTAGCTAGGTGGTGTTGATACCAAAAACTTTAGGTGACCTTATTTCAGTATACTACACTACCATTTCTTCTCACCCAGCCTCTTCCTAGCTTGTTTCTCACTGTCACACGTCGCTTTCTTCCTCGATCCAATGCCATGGAGCTGGTGGCCATGCCTCCCGCTTCTTTGTGCTACCCGCCGCCCTCTCCGACGCCACCGCGCCCACCTGGCCTGTGCTCTCCATGACACAACGTTGGGCGGCTAAGATTCTGCCCTCCCTCATCCAAGGTCGGGCGCCCAAGATTCAAAAACCCTTATCCATGGCGGTCTGTGGTGGGGTTCTTACATCTTCTCGTTCTCCAACCTCTACAAGGGAGCGTGTGGCGGAGGCGGGGCGTGCTCATCCAGGAGCTTGTGGTCAGGCCAGGTGGACCGGTGGCAGTAGGGGCTGCTGCGGTGGGGTAATGGTCGGCGGTAGTCGAGAATCCACGGTGACGATGTTGCGATCAGTGCCTCGGTGGAGTTCGAGCATCTAGAGGCGGCGGATGGTGGGAGGTAGGAGCCATAGGGCACTGCTTGCGCTTGAGAGAGAGGAGGGAGAAAAGGGTATGTGACAGGGTGTTGATGTTATTTTGCATTCTATGCCTCCTTTTGGTTCGAATTAATTTGGGTTGGCCGACTAGTGAACTAATAATTGGTTAGGGGCTGGACTAAAAATAAATCCTCATTTAGTTCACTTGTTTGGATGACCTTTGACTAAACTTTAAGTGACTAGTAACAATTAGTCCACTGTATCAAGCGGGCTCTAATTAACATTGTTTGTTTTCCCTAATTATAGTTACTATAACTACATGTGCCATGCTTTAGTGGTGAAAGTAAAATTACTCTCTCTCTGACTCTTGGGTCAGGTCAGGAGTATACGACGTCAGGCAAAGCTATATTATAAACACACCTCTTCAAAAATGCAAAAACAATAACCTCAATTAAAATTATACCATATACACATTCATTACGACACAAGTTTATATACCCATAAGGCAAGTACGGCCCTGTTTGGTTACCCATCCTAAAAATTTTAGGAGCTAAAATCTAGATAGAATTTACCTAAAGAACAAACACCTCCTCCTAAAAGCTTCTAAAAACTTTAGGAAAGGCCAAAATATCTAGGAGCTCCACCCCCTCCTAAAAGCTCCTAAAGTCCATCTTAGACCCCTACTACCCCTCCTTTATTGCCCTGCCCCCTCTCTCTCTCTCCCACCCTCCCTCCCACCTGCTCCTCCCTCTTGCGGCCCCTACCCTTCACCGCCGGATCCCCGCCGCCACCACCTGCCGGGATCTCCTCTCCCGCGTGGCGCCCGCCTGATCCGTCTCCCGCGCCCGCCCGCCCACGCCCCAAACCGGTCCGCCGCTCCTTCGCGCTGGACCTGGAGATGGCGGCGGTGCTGCTTGCTTCCATGTACCCTCCGTCTTCCCCGCCGCCATGGGGCCCGAGTCGGCGCCACCCCTCTGACCTCCTCCAGCCGTTCCCCGTCCTCGACCCTCGCGCCGCTGGATCCGCCGGCCCCTGCTGCCACTCGTGCTCCCCGGCGGGCAGGGGGAAGGCCGCGACCAAGACGAGGCGGTGGCGCGTGGTGGAGCTGGTCACGCTCCCGTCTGTCGAGATGGCCACCACCGCGGAGACGACGAGGAGGAGAGCGAGGGCCACGACGGGAGCAGAGAAGGAGCAGGGGTAAAGAGGAGGGCTACATGGTCGGTCTATTTGCTAGTGCATTTATTGTTTTTAGTCAGTTTTAGGAGATGGGATCAAATACTCTTTTAGGAGGTTTTGACAGCCTCATAAAAGCTCCTAAAACTTTTAGCTCCTAACAATTTTAAGAGCTTGGAACCAAACAGAGCCTACATCTCTCTAGTTTGCTATAACTTTACCACCGCATGACGTCCTAGCCAGAGGATCGGAATGAGCTAGCGCCCTAGCAGAGTAGAACATCGGCCGTCGAAACTTCATCTATTAGCGAAGTTAAATGAGTTAGCATTTGATTAGCTTCTTCTTGTCTAGACCGCTCTAACTCGCAGTTTGACAGGAGTAATGAGTGTTGCCTAGAGTGCTTGGCTGCGATGGCATTTTGTGCATTTTTTAATCATGTAAATAACTCTTTTATCTTAATACAATGACGCGTATATAATTATTTGCTTATTCGACCGATTAGTATAAAGAGGACATATAACGACAGAGTCAGTGCGCGAAACAGCAAGCAGAGATCACATAAAAGATTTTTTTGATCTCGATTGATGGCCGCACCCAATGCTTGATTGTTTCCATTATATTATATATATTGCTCCTGATGGGATGATGATTATAGATAGAGCATTCTAACCCTCGATCTCCAGAATTCTTCTCTGAAGTCTTCGGTGTGACCTAGGAGCTATAGGCCATAGCTAATAGTGCTTCAACAACGACATACCATATACTAGTATATAAGCAGGCGCTGGACCTAACAAATTTAGACCCGTTTGACACAATTTCATTATATCCGTTTGACACAATTTAAAACGGCTTTGGCTCCTTGCTATATTGCGCAAAAGGAGTCAAAGCTGATAAAAATAAAAATAGTAATTTTATTGGCTCCTAATTTCATTTTAAAAAAAAACCTTTTGCAACGGTACATGAAGGTGCCGGAGCCAAAGCAAGAGTTGGCCGAAGCTCTACAAAACAGGGGGTCGTCTAGCTTAGCTCAGCTTGGGTTCCGTGTTGTTTGAAACCGCCCGACAGATTGTCAAAATTGGATGGCCATGCCATACTACACCTACAATTGTGCATTGGTTTGACTTTGACCACCAGAGCCGCCGGTAATCCAAATATCCAATTGCATGCGTTATTATCTCTACCAACTCCTTTCCATTACAGGTACTTGTTGTTTTGGCCGGGCAAATGACGTGTTTTGCCACTATTGAACTTTCTTCTACGGAGTATATATGCAACGCGCCCATAGAATGAATGCGGCACAATTGGACAAATAATCATGGTAATGTTATATGTATAAGTATATCAAAGTAGTACTCCACCTGTTACAGGGCGTGTTCGGCTGGCTTTAAGCCGGCTGGTTGGCTGGCCAGCCAACTCACGGAATCACTATTCACGTCCTGCTAGAATAGTATTTTTCTCTTACAATAATCAGCCAGAACAGTATTTTTCAGTCTTGTCAAACATGCCCATAAATAATAAGACGTTTTAGCTTTCTAGATACATCGCTTTTGCTATGATACATGTGTATAGCGAGAAGACACCGGCATGGCCTACAGGAATCACCGACTTGTGCCCTCTGTGGTGTGGGGACTGAGGAAATAGACCACCTTCTGCTTGCTTGTCCTTACAGTGTCGAAGTCTGGAGTTTGGCCCCTCAGACTCCCTGGGCTTGATGATCTCTTGCTGCTGGACATGGCGTCTTTCTGGGTTTGGTGGACGACGTCGAGGAAAAGGGTCGCCAAAACAGCTAGGCGAGGATTCGACTCCATGGTATTGCTCGTTGGCTGGGAACTGTAGAAGGAAAGAAACTCCAGGACGTTCGAC